AAAATATTTCTTTTTGCTAGGAGATTATGAAAATATATTTTTTTATAAAAATCAAATGAATTTATATTTATATTGTAATATATGTACTTTGTATAAGAAATGTACATTGTTTTGTTTAAATATAAAAGATATTGCTTTTCAAAGAATACAAAAAAAAGATATAAAGAAGATAAATGATGAATGATAATAATGAAATGTATTTCGTAATAAAAATCATTATTAGAATTAAAGAAAATATCCAATATAATTACTTTTAAATATATGTATATATAAATGTGTATATATATATATACATATATATAATTTTAAAACATATAATTCGAAGTAAATAATTCTATGACAACCAAAAATTTTATTTCGACTTTTGAGTATTTACAACCTATTATTTTCGTTTTATCAAATATATCGATATCATAAAATGAATGTAGTACTAATAATAATAAATATGGAAATTATTTACATTTAAGTAATGTCAAAGAATAAAATATTCTTTTCCTATAAACCATTATTGTTTCGTCTCTAAACGAAGAGAGTAACTTTTACAAATTACTTGAGTTTGCTCGGGTGTTTTATATTTCATAAGCAACCTTTATTTCTTTTCTTGTATTTCAAGTTGAAACAAATGTGATATATATAATTTTTCTACTAACAATTTATACGTATGGCACAAATAATTATCAACTGTTATCCAATATATTTTTATTATGAGTTTTTCTGCAATATTCTATTTTCAATATTAAATTTTGTAGGTATTTGCAAATAAAAATTATTATTAAAATAGTTTTCAGAAATAATAATAAATAAATGTAAAATAGACGTTAAGTTCAATTCACACAATAAGTTTTAAGTTACAACATTATTTCTATTACACTCTGTTTAACTTGTTTTATTTTGATATCAATTGTTATTAGTTAAGAATAATAATTCAATAATAATATTGAATTATATGTTATATAATTAAAAACAATATAACAGTGCAAATTATAATTTATTAATACAATATTTGTAGATGAAAAAGTATAAGTAAAAATATTCATATAATATCAATAAAATATCAAATATAAATATCAAATTAATAGCTAAAAATATATTAAACTGTAATTCTTTTAAATTTAATTTAATACTCTCTCAATCCAGTATAGAATATTCTAAAGATAATTATCATCTTGAAATAAAAGTTACTAACAGCTATGCTTCCATTCCTTTCAAAGATTCATTTCTGCATAGAATAAAGTACTGTGAAGTAAGATAGTGACATACTTGCAAGCTGAAGAAATAAATTTATTATTTTTGAGCAAACTGCTCGACCAAGATTTATTATTATATTCATGATAAAAGTTACCGTAGTAAAATTTTCCACCGATACATAATATATACCACCCAAAACAAGTTTGCAAGATTTTATACTCCTTTGCATTATAAATAATAACAACTTTTGTGTTTTTATAGGCGCTGCATACCATTGTGTATTGTATCTAAAAATTTTTGTAATATACTTTATGTTAAAAAAATGTTAAAAAAGAAAAAACTGTTCAACTCTTGACATTTCATGATTTTAAAACATGATTAATGTAGAAGTATCTTTATAAATTTAAAAAATTGTTTATTAAATTTAATAATTTTTCGTATTTGTTGAAGTAATCATATGTACTTGTAAATTTTTATATGATTTAAAAATTATTTTAAAATACTAAACTACATAAAATACTAAACTACATTAATAAAAATATTTGAATTATTAACAATACTCACATTTCATTATAAATTTCAGTACTGTTATCGATTATCTTCTGTCCTAAATAATTACATATAAACATGTAGCAAAAGTGACCAGATACAAATATCACAAATGATGCAAGATTTTTTTTTTGATCTGGTAATATTGCAACTTGAAAAAGCTGGAAATGCATCAAATAAATTTATTTCTGTATATGTTTTACATCTGTATTCCTTATAACGTTAATATTGTATTGAAGTAAACACACGTATATATGATAAAAGTATTTTAATTAATATATGGTAATAGATATGACACTAAAATCATGAATTTTTATTTTTTACTTACACGGAATAAATTTAGACTTAAAGAAATTACACCCAAAATCATTAGAATAAAATAGGATAACGAAAATGTAGATGACAAATATTCAAAAAACCTTTAGGAATAAAAAAATTTTAATATTAAAAATATTTTTTATAAGATTTTTATAAGACAATATAATTTTTTCTTACTTTATTATAGAATATTTATTTAGTAAAAATGAATAAAAAGATTAAATTTGTTTAATTTCTGTTAAAACATTTTTCAAAATAATTAGAAAAGACAAAATTGTACAAAGAACAATGCTAACATTATTAATAAAAGTAGCAAGATACTGACTCAATAGTTCTTTGATGAATCTCTATAGCGTCAATTATTTTGATATGAATCATATTTTCTCTTAACATTGGTGATATCGATGTGCTTGCATTCAATGCACGTTCTATCCGATATCTACAAATATAAAATAATCAATAGTCGTATGTAATTATTAGAATTATTTTTTTTATTTTATCATTTAAATCTCCAATATACAATCTATTTTACCTGATTACTTTAAACATGCCACAAATATGATAAACGTATGCTAACATCAAT